GGATATATATTTCTCAAACCGAACATACAAATGTTTATGCAATAGGCTAACTAGCCTTACAACAAAAGAGCATGCTAAGGTAAGAGAACCCACTGAAAAAGCAAGATCAACCACCTCAAATTCAAAACATCCAAACTGGGGGTTGGCACTTTTTCTTGAAACCACATGACTTATAAGCCAAGGGCTAGCAAAAAGGACTAACCACTGTCACAACCGAACCTAGACAATCCTCAAAACACTTCTACATCAAAATATAAAAAGTATAAACAAAACCAAGAGTTAAGCATTTACAACCAAAAAGTTCTGCCAATCTTGTAAAACTAATGAGATGGTTTCTTGTTCAGTTCGCCAAATGCTTGAAAAAACTACATGTTTCTTGCCTTCCACATCCACCAATGGATGTAGGATGACAGCTGCAACCTTACTTCAGAAGTTGGTGAGTTATTAAGTGAACAAACCTGAGGCCACCATTGCTTAAAACATATTGAGTTCTGATGAATACCCTCCCATGTCACTGGAGAGAGTTTACAAATTGTCTGGGCCCTGCTACACTAAAAAAACAGGTGTTCTTGAGTCTCAGCTCCCTCTCCACACATCTTACGATTTTGATACAAGTCAGGTTGCAGTTAACAGGGATGATGTTATTCACACACTTCCACAAGAAATGTTTCACTTTAGGCTTCACTTTCATGTTCCAGTTTCTGCTCCTAGCTTTCTTTAGTAATTTTTGATCCCTGCTCGATTGTGGTGAGTTCATAGCCATAAATTTCTCATGAATCAGCTTTGAGTATGTTGATGCTACAGAGAATTTTCCTTTGGCAGTCCATTCCTGTAATGCCCCGTTTATTTGTGAATAAATTGGGACTATTTATTTATTTCTTTTATTAATTATTGCTATTATTATTTACTTTGCTATTATTATTATTGTTATTATTTAAATGCCAATTGTTATTAATTGTCAAAATGCTTAATATTATTAAATAAATATTATTGTATATATTATATATATATATATATATATATGTATATATATGCGTGTGTGTGTATATATATTAATTAATATTGTGTGCAATATATGTGTATAAATATATTTATTTGGTGTCGTTTTAATAACCTATATATATTTTTGAGATTGTCATCCCTATTCGTACGCATTCCCGCAGCTCTCACCTTGATCTCTCATTGATAAAAAAAAAATCTCCCCAACTCTCTGTGTTCTTCTCTCGCGACGCTGCACCAGAAAAAAAAATAAAAAATTCTGCTATACTGAACTTTGCTTTCTCGCTGCACCATAGTCATCTCGTCCCCACCACCATCATCTATTCGTCAAGCAGCAAACCTGGTCGCCATCGTCATCGTTGCACCATCGTCTCTTCCTTTTTTCGCTGGTCGTGCCATCTCCATAATTATCGTCATCGAGAGCAGCAAGACCTATGTCATCATCACCATCATCCACTTGCTGCTCCCCTCTACGATCAGTACCAGCAGGCCCGACGAGTCCAACACCTCCGTTGCTGTCCAGCAAGCAGTACCGACAAGCATCCCCTCCGGCGACCCTTTTTTTCTCGGCGAGTCCCGCTGATTCGTACGTTGCTGTCCGGCGACCGCATCTCGTTCTGTTCATCGTGTCTAGATCCCGCGAGAAGCTTCTCCGATGTCCCGAGTGCAGTCCCCATCGAGTCCCGTTGTTCGAGCCTTCCGATGGCTCCATCGCTATGCGAGCATCACCTAGTCCGTCAGGGCAAAAAACGACCAAACTTTATTTTAGAAATTATGATAAAGGCTACCATAATGCGAATTGCATTAGGAGAAAACTGATTTATGGGTATACTATACATGTTGCTAATCGACTGAAGTTCGGGCTGAATAGGAAAGCGCAAGCCGAACATTATTTGGTCGACAAAGAATGTGTAACAACCTTTAGGAGGATGGGTAAAAACATCATTGGGACCAGGGGCGACAAACTCCCAATCGGAAGGCAGACCGCTGAACGACCTAAATCCCTCGATTTGGGCTGCAGAGGCATAAGAAAATGGATTCAGAACAGCTAATCTGACTAGAGGACAAGCTATGGTTACATCTCGAGACTCAAAAATAGGAGTCGCTATTGACAAATAAGTAGGACTCGTCCTATATACATGAATATCTAAAAGCCTAAGGGGAATACCTTGAGAAAGGGGGTTTAGTTGAGGAGAGTCGCAACCTCAATTGGGATCCTCCTTATTTTGCATCAAGTCACCCGATAAGAGCGCTTGGGCATACTCGTCATGGTCAAACCCGAAAGTCGAGACAAATGAGCCCTGCGACCTCTCTTACTCGACTGCAGGCCTAGAGCCAATTATTTCGACAGAATCAGAGCCTGAATATTCTTCTATTTGACGGACGAGAGAGCTGGAAATAGAGCCAGAGACAGAGTCGAATTCGAAATCTATTGAAAAAATTCGAGAAGTGATGATCAGCACAAGAAATATCGCAGAGAAACGAAAATACAACGACTTGTGGAAGAATTCAGGGACCACAAGTCGACCATAGAAGTTTTTACTCGACTCACTCGACCCTAGGGATGAGGAAGGATTGAATTGCAGAATGACTAAGAGGAATACTAAGTCGACATAAGTCAACACGCGAAGAAAGGTGAGGATGACCTTATCTCCTAAGGGAGATTCATCCACAAACACGATTCGATTAGTGTGAGACGGGTGTAAAAGATCTAGCACTAACTTCCCAGAATTCTTTGAAGATTCTCAAGAACAGGAAGAACTATCATGAATCCTCAAAATCGAAAACCCCAAAAACTAGC